AACAAACAAAAAACACCTTGTTGCCATGGTTACGCATCATAACACATGCCCAAAAGTAACGCGGTTTCAGTAAAAATCCTTCCAGCTGCACAGCAGCCGATATCAGATGAAATAATCATTTGGAAAAAAGTGATTTACATCCAGAAAAAAGAGGAATGAAAGTTTTTAAAAGCAATAAATCCAAATGAGAGTAACAGAGCTGCTTCAACATGGAGCCACACCGAGCGGCGCAATTCTGGAACTAGATATGCTCCATTTTAAATTTATATACTTTATTTATGGCCGAAGTGATAGAGTTTAGTGAAAATAAACATTTTGTTGTGTTGTGTAAAAAAAAAATCTCAGTTCAGATATTGTAATCAATAATAAATTATGTTTTTATGCACAGGAGATGAAACTTTTAAAAACCTTTTATCACGGCCTGGCAGCAGTATCTGAACATTGAGCACAACATGGAGCGAGCGCTTCATAACAAACAAAAGAAGAAGCTGAGATTTAATAAAAAGCTAACAATAATACAAACATTTTCTGTTAAATGATAGTAAATGTAGCTGGATGTTATAAATGTTCCAAAAGTTTTCAGAAAATCAAGTGTTTTTGGATGTAAAAATCATACATTTAGATTCCAAACTGTACATTTTCACTGTGGCGTGTCACTTCCTGTCTGTGCGTACAGTTTTAAGCTCCTCCCATCATGTCAAGCAGTCCACCACGAACTGTCGTATGTGCAAGTGGGCAGCTCGCTGTCCCGGTCCATGCCGGGGGGAGACGGCGGGCCGTCCTCGGACAAAGACCTCCGATTGACACCGACACAATGGAGCAGGCACACAGCAGCCTCCTGACCGAGGAGATAAACGACACAATCGCTCTTTTTCTGCTGCCACTGGAAGGAAGAGCCGTCGTGTTGCTGCGTCACCACGTCACGTTTCTGTTAACGTATCAGGATACAGCTGTAAATATACACAGAATACATATTTAATCCTTATTTCTCACTATCTTAAAGTATTTTGATCGGGGGACTCCAGCAGCTTCTGGCTCTAATAGATCTGTGGATGTTAGTGTAGTAGTAAACGTCAAACCTGCTGAGGTTTGCAGAATTTGGTAACGACGTCAAATAGCTGTCAAAATATGGAATTAAAAAAGTTTTATTTAAAATTTTACGCTTCAAATAGAATTTTTAGATTAGGGGTGCGCCGATAAATCGGCCCAAATTTCCTTAATTTTGGGAAATCGGTCGATACTTGAACGAGAAACCGATTTTTTTTTGTTGTTGTTTTAACAACAATTGTCTAAACTTCATTTATATTTCAGAGCACTACCTGATGGCCAGTTAAAACAAAGTTGTGTCGTTTCTAGGATATTGTTCAAGGGTATGTTTTTCATTAAGATTGAAAATTGAAGGTGCATTGTGACCTTAGAACACCTGACGGTGTCGCTTATAAAACTAAATCTGCATCGGCAGGTCAGACTTTTTAGAAATCGGTGATCGGCCAGAAAACTGCAATCGGTGCGCCTCTTTTCTAAACTATTAAATGATCGCATAGCTCCAGCGTTTTCCTTAACGCTCTCGGCCGCTCGGTTGCATCCCCAAAATAGCCTCTTCTGTCGACTCTCGTCCTCGGAGCTTTTAGTTGCCGTTTCTTTTCAAGAGAAGAAGAAAGAACTTCACCTTTTCTCCTTCAACCCGACGCCTCTAATTCCACCGGAGTCTCTACCTCCGAGAACTATTTGAACATCCGAGGTGAACGCATTCATAATTATTGGCAACAAAACCCTACTCTGCCCATTTCACTCATTTATTACAAACTATGCACCAAACGTTTGGCAGTAAATGATGTTTGATGGTTATTTTTATCAAACATGATACACAAATGGAAAAAAACTAATAAAAAAATGCTGAAATGTCTCTTATGTTAACAACTGATGGCTTAAAAAGTATCTTTACAACCTGTTTAATTTTTTAATACAATTTTCTTTCACTTGTCCTCAGTTTGTATGATTTCTTTAACGATCGTCCCCTGTTGTCACCAGGGCTCTCTTGTAAATGAGTCTGGAGATTAATCTATAAATAAAGGTTGAATGAATCACAGCTTTGATTAAATCCAACGTTGCCTTGAAAACGAATTTAAGTCACGGCTAACTGAACTTTTGTCAGACGTTTACATAGTGTGGACTAAAGGTTGTTGCTTCTACGTCCAACATCCTCGCGTGGTCCCACCTGGTCCAGGACACATGGACTCATGACGTGGTGCTAGTTTGTGCACAAGTTTATTTACTGATCCGACCACGCACGGATGAGCTAACCCAAGCCAGTCCAAGTATATTACAAGTTTCTGTTCTGTTTCTCACTTGTTTTTTTTTAATTATTATTTTGTTTCTACGACCAAAAGCTCATTAAAAGATTAAAAGGCTCTGCGATGGACAATCTGTCAACGGTCTCGGTCGTAACGTTCAACTTCATTATCAAAGATCTGCATCTTTTTAACCTCGACTCAGCGTTTTATTCAGGGAACAAGTTCCTCCCGTCCTGGCACGTCTTCAGACAGTCGTGAATGTGGAGTTGTTTTTATCTGGCAGCTCTTCAAAACTTCAACCTCACAAACTTTACACACCTAATAAAAGAGTGTGTTGGATTAAAAATAAAAAACTTCAGAAGAAAGATGCTGTTCTTTTTCTGGGGATGACGGCGGGGCTCGCAGAGGAAGGAAGTGGGTCTGAAGGCCTCATGCAGAGAATCAGAAATAAAAAGCTCGTCACTGAGAGAAGTTAGAGGCACAGACTGAATCTGGAAATGTATAAATATATAAATATATATGATCTCAACAGGATGCTGCAGATGCAGTGGAAAGAACTGGGTGGAGGAGTTGATTTAATGAGCTCAGTGAAGTGTTAAATTACTTAAATGTGACCGGACTGTAAAAGAAAAAGATTTTTATATTTTATATAAAGCATCCATTACTTCCAGCGTAGAATAAACCTACTAGATCTAGTAATTTCTGAATGATGTATTGACCGTAACTAAAACCACTTTCACTCCCTTTAATTAATTTGTTGTTTTTGTTTTATTTTCTTGTTAAAAAAAACATTAAAACTGATCCTCTACAATGTTAATTGTGTTAAATATATTTATAAATGTCAATAAAAAAAAGCATTGGTTCAAGTAAATCTTCTAAACTGCAGCAGGAGCACAACTCCCCGAAGTTTTTTGGTGTTGGTGCCGGTTGCTCGGGATACGGGTTCGCTCAGGTGCGTCGAGTTGTGTCATGTGGAAACACAAAAACAATCAGCACCTGTTAACGAGCAGAACATCCGGAGAGCGTTCACTGCGCTTCACTTCTTCCACAGTTTATGTTGCAGCTTTATTCCAAATGTTATTAAATTCATCCTTTTCCTCAAAATCTACGCACGCCACCCCGTTATGACACGAGCTCAGATTATTTAGTGGCAGTATTTTATTTGGTGCATTTGAAAAGATATCTACACTCGTATGAACATGTGTTTTAGTTCCTGTATTATTGGCAGGAGTGGCATTTGCAGGTTTGATTTTTCTTCCAGTATTCGACGACCACAACTTCCTGTCCCGTCTAATGTTCCCCCACCTCCAGCGCCCTGAGCAGAAGACGTCACATGGATTTGTTTTGTTCTTTCCTCCGTGGTTAATTAATATATTTAATTTAGCGCAGGAGGTGTCCAACTGTTTGACAGCACAGGAAGCATTTTAGAAAGCGCTGAACTCAGATTATGGTCTAGGACAGTTGGGACTTCAAAAAGTTCACTCGCCTCAAGTCCTGCAGCTGAAACCCTGGAATGACCGAGAGGCTTCAGGTGTGGAGACGTGCTGCTGATCTTTATGTACTGCTGATCTTTACATTCCTCCGTCGGTCCAGTGAGCAACAGTTTGACAGTAAAGATGAGCTCACCCTGACCATAGTTTACGCTTTATAATCCTTTCAAAATAAACTACAAAAGGAAGAAATGGACGCTTCCTGGAGTTTTTCAAGAGGGGTTTGTTGGTGAGCGTTAAAGAAAATCTCCGACAGGCTTCAGATTTGTCCATTTTAACGATTCTTCAAATATTCAAAACCGCCCATCTTGAATTATTGCTTTATTGAGCTGCAGGTTTTCTCGATTGTAAATGAACATTTAATCCTGCCGGTGAGATTAACGGTTTATTTTTCTGTGTGGTTTGAAAGACGGCCGCAGTTTAACGCGGTTATCTTTAGTGTTGCTGAGGCGGTATCAGACTGCTGCAGGAAAATCTGAACCCGTTACTGGTAATATATAACGACTCTTTACTTTGATTTATTCAGTTTTTAATGAAATGCTGTCCCGGATTATTTAGTCTGGATAACTTCTGTGACTGCTTGTGTAGATTGCTCTAGTTTTTTATTGCCTGCTGCCAGAGCAGTAAAAGGCAAATCATGACACACTGGCTGGATTAAAATGGAAATCTCAGAAAGTAATTACTGTCTGTGCGTTTACAACTGTCCTTTTAAAGTCAACCTGATTCAAGATGGCTGCCACGGCTAATTAACCTTAGCTAACACAAACTCGCTTAATTTCCCAGATTCTAAAGTGGAATTAGTGGAGTCAACCTTAACGCCTATTTTAAGTGGTAACAAATTGTACAGCTTGACTTAAATTTTACTATTTTTCATCCGTATTATGTTTTCAGGGGATTTTTAATTCAAAACATTGTGTTTTTGCACAAAACAAATAAAAAAAAGACCAGAATCACAAAGATTAAAGGTTAAATTATATATTTCTTTATGACTATTTAAAGCAATTTATTGTCTTTTGAACATGTCAAGGTTTTACGCCTTAAGATTTATTTCTTTTTTTTCCTGATAAGTTAAAATATTTAATATGTTGTTTCTCACAGATGTAAAAATGTTTCAAAGGATTGTGCGTTTGTGCTAATGGTATAAAAAACCATAAACCCTGGAGCTGTTCCTTTTGTGTGTAGCACCTTGCCAGTAAATCACCTGTGTGTGTTTTAGGTTTGAGAAGGGGAGGATCTACTCGTACATCGGAGAGGTGGTGGTGTCCGTTAACCCTTACCGTGCCATGAACATCTACGGCCGCGACACCATCGAGCGGTACAAGGGCCGCGAGCTGTACGAGAGTCCGCCCCACCTCTTCGCCATCGCAGACGCTGCTTACAAAGCCATGAAGAGGAGGAACAAAGACACCTGTATCGTCATCTCAGGTAACATGGGAAGCCCCCCGAGCAGAAAAGATAACGGTCAAAGAACGAGAAGATGTTCCCTCTCCTTTACCTTTAGATTTTCTTTCAAGTTTTCCAAAATAAATGTTATTTGCTCATGGGCTGTGTGGCAGCGTGAAGACTAAAAGCAGACTGAAGCACCACCCGGTGGTCAGAACAGGAACCGAGACCCTCTAAATCCTGAAATCATGTCACGTCCTGCAAGAGTGACGCTTTGAGTATTTTGTCCTGCACAGATTAAAACCAAGAAACCGTTGCTTTGATTCAGTAAAAGCAGCAGTTTGGGTCTGGGGGGCGCTGGCGTCCGACTTTTGAAAAGCCACAATCGTAAACGAGTCATTGGCCAGAAAACTTGAAACGTTTCAACGTAACCGCTTGTGGTCTGGCAGCTTCGCTTGCGAGGCACACGAACCACACCAGGACTATCGGTGCAGTAAATTTTATGGTTGTCTTTCTGTTTCATTGCAGGGGAAAGTGGTGCAGGAAAGACCGAGGCCAGCAAGTACATAATGCAATACATCGCTGCTATTACCAACCCCAATCAGAGGGCTGAGGTTGAAAGGTGAGCTGCTGCCACTCACACAAAGAGGGAGGACATTTTTATTGTCCTGCTGGACTCGAATAAACCACGAATTTCCTCAAAGACTGGGTTTAAATACTTTTATTTACACTTTGTAATAATAATCCTGCCGTCAGGGCTTAAATAATCCTTTTTAAAGTGCTGCCATCACTTGTAATCTAACACTCTTAGATGATTATGGGATGTAGTTACAGCTCAGGAAAGTGTCATCGTCTCATGTAACTGAGCAGCTGTGTGTTTTAATCTAGAGCAACAGGTTATTGCATCTTATTACAGGTCGCTCTTGTTAAAGGGGCTCAATGGGAACTAACCTGTATGAATAAATGTCTAATAATAATATTACAGAACACTTTTTTTTACAGAGTTGTTCATCTAAATAGCTCAGGGGGCCACACTTAATGAAAGCAAAGAGCTCAGGGGCCGGACACCCATCACTTATTGTCATTAAGTAAGTTTGTTTTACGGTTTAAAGTCTAGTTTTATTTAAAAATGAACCCATTGGTGCGCTGAACACAGATCACCCAACGGCCTGATTTGGCCCCCGGGCCACCAGTTGAATGGCTCTGCTTTATTATATTCTGCGGTGCAATTAACCCCGATGGATAAAAAGCAAAAAACAGGAGATGAACTTTATGAAAAGTAGAATTATTGTGGGTGAGATGAGGATCAGTTGATCCCAGTAAAGACTGCAAGGATTTGAACTGGAGAGTGAGATTGTATAAATGCGTAGGTCTCGATGTACTTTTAGTATCCATGTTGCAGGAAAATGCACAGAACACGCTGGATTTTTAAAACATGATCATTTAAAAGGCTCACTTTTGTTTAACTTCTGTTTTGTCTGAAATGAAAAACGATCATTTTAAAAACTTGAGAAAATTCAATACGCTTGTAAAACCTGTTAACACAATAATTTATAAACCCGAGCAATATTTTGTTCACGTTTTATTAGTAAAACAGCAGATTATGTAAAGTTTTTATTAAGGGTTGATGCAAAGGATTTTGCTCTTCACTAAACCGTTTTCATCCAAATCAGATTTTGGAAATTAACCAAAAACTCAAAAATAAAAAAGTCTGATTACGTTCTGTGACATCAATGTGTTTCCATACGTCACATGTTGGAGCCATGTTCTTTTATTCACTGTTTTAAAGACTCTTTTTGTGTTTTTCGTCACGTTGGACTGAGAGAATATCTGTGATGCTCGTTCTGTAGCTCGGCTCCAAAGTGCAAATCCCTGATTTCAACCAGTGAACGTGGACCGAGTCGCCGTTTCTGATTCAGGTGGAAACTTGTGCTCGTTCGGGGACGTTCTGTTCGCTGTGGCAGCCACTATCAGCTGTTTTTATTCTTTTTGTCCTCCTCCGGGTGGAAACGTACACGACGTGGCTCTTGTTAATGTCATTTTCTCGTTCATTTCTCAGAAGAACGTTGACTTTTAATGCGGAAGGAGCCGTTCGTATCAGCCGTGTGTTCATTTGTCTCTTGTCTGTTGTGTGCGCGCCATGACGTTAATAACAATAAATATTCTATTTGTGGCTTTTTATATCGACTCTGAATAGTTCACGTCCACGCTCATGTTAAAAATTAATTATAGTAATAAATAAGTTAAAACTGAGGTAGGCAGCCACATGTAAGACGATCACCAACAATATTTCCCTTTTTATATATTTTTACTGATCTAAAATACTTTAATATTCAAAGTTTTGGTGAAGATTCTTCGATTTAAGTGAAAATAATCTAATATTAAGTTTGGTCATTGTCCAGCCAAGAAGTTTAACTTGGATCTCGTTTCTACAGTGGTCACTCTCTACTTCACGGTTCGTGTATCGTGGACTCGCTCTATCACGGTTTTTCAAAATAAAATTGGACATGACACACTTGGCTGATGGATGGACGAGCCGCACGATCGGCATGGGATTTTTATTTAAAAGAAATTATTTTAAATTATTTAGCACCTGCTGCACATCTGCGCAGCCCACGTGGCAGGATAAACTTCCTGCTGCAGCTGATCAGCTGTTCTCCGAGCAGAGCGGAGAAGTGGGCGTGGCCAAGAGCGCTTGCAGGTGACAAAGAGCAGAGGAGGCAGGGAGCTGCAATCATGACATGCTGTGCTCTCTTAGAGCGTTTAGAAACATTGTTTAGAATATTGCAAGAGTGTGGGGAGAATATATTTATATATATATACTAAAATAGACTACTACTTACTACGTCGTGGTTTTTCACTTAGCGCGGGTCTTCAGGGTACGGATCCTCTGTGATAAAGAGGGACTACTGTAAAATAAGCAAAATAAGAAAAAGTAACATCATTTTATACTATTAAACGCGTGAACTCAGATGCAGTATGTTACAGATACTTGAAACAAAACATCAGATTCTGGAGACTGTAAAAAGAAGGTCTTGTAGTTCTTCATGTGTGCACGTTCGATTAAATCTTGGTCTCGGCAGCGTAAAGCAACGAGTCGAGTTATTTGCTAACTTGGTGGAGCTCTGATTTATTTAATTTATTATTTCCGTCTTTCTGTTGCTCCACAGAGTGAAAAACACGCTGCTAAAATCCAACTGCGTCCTGGAAGCCTTCGGAAACGCCAAAACCAACCGCAACGACAACTCCAGCCGCTTCGGCAAGTACATGGACATCAACTTCGACTTCAAGGGGGACCCCATCGGGGGCCACATCAACAACTACCTGCTGGAGAAGGTGAGGTGGACAATAAAACTACTACAAACACCACCCTTGTTATTTATCGTTTGACATGTCATTTTGTATAATTGTTTTGTTTTATGCGACTTGTTCCAGGAATCCTGAGAAACATGACACGCATTTGATCCGTGATCCTTTTAAGGTCACCGTTCTGAGCAGGAAACTAAAACGATCCTTTGTTCCTTCTTTCCTCGTTTTCCAAACAGTCCAGGGTCATTTTCCAGCAGGAAGGCGAGCGGAGCTTTCATTCATTCTACCAGGTGAGTCCACGCACATCTGCGCACCTGTGCGATTTGCCTACCACCTTGCTTCTTGTTTGGAAAAGGTGTTTTAGACGCGTGGCGTTGCCACGGACACGTGCATGTTTACGCACAACTTTAAACATGTAGCAATGGCTTAAATGATTTTCAGTGCGTTTACACACATTCTGCGATCATCAGCTGCAGTTCATCGCAGATGAAAATGATGCAGGTAAACTCTGATTTCTGTGGACTCCACCTCGATGACGAGCCGCCGCGTTACGAGTCATAAACTCTTTGGATCCCGTGTAACACGAGGTTCCAGCTTGTTCTGGGTGGGACAGTTTTTCAGGTTATTCCCACAGGTGCTTTAAAAATTTGGGATCATGATGATTTTTTTTTAAACGTGCGTCATCTTCAGACTGTTAAACCGGAACATTTCAGGAAATGATCACCCGACAGAAGTGATGTGCTTTAATAAAGATGTCCTGTGTTTTTCACCGTCAGCTGCTCAGAGGAGCTCCGGATTCCCTCTTACGTTCTCTTCACATCCAAAAAGAACCAACGGCCTTCAACTTCATCAAAGTTGGAGGACAGACTAAGGTATAAAGCTTCGCATTCATCTCTCGTGGTATTCTTTACAACCTTGCATTTTAATGGATTTTTCATTAATTTATAAGGAGTAATTATAAAAGAAATCCTTCAGATAATGAAGTTCAATAAGAAAATGGTTGTAAATGTTTTTTTTAAGAACATATCTAAAAACTGGTGTCTTTGGTAGAGCTACAGCAGTTACAGCATCAAGTCTCTTCAGGTCCATCTCCACAGACCTGGTCCATCCAACCACTGGAGAGTTTGTCCGTTCGTGTTTAAGCTACTGCACCTCCTTCAGGTTGGACTGGTGCTGCTGGAGTCCAACAATCTTTAAATCAAACCAGATTCTCAGTTGGACTGAGGTCTGGTCTTTAGACTCCAGGATGCAACTGGTTCTCACTGGAGTGTTGCTGCTGGAAGGTGGACCTCTGTCCCAGGCTCAGATCTCTGAAGACGCTAAGTTCTTGTTTCTTTTCTTTCCTTTAACTCTGATCAGTTTATCAGTTCCTGCAGATTAAGAAAAACATCCCCACAGCATGGTGCTGCCACCACCGTGCTTCACTGTAGAGATGATCTTCTCAGTATGATGAGATGGGTTATATTTGATGGCCTACTTTTATTTTCTCCATAGGACCAAACCAAGATATTTAAAGCAATCGAAGGGTTGCGTAGAAATTTAGAAAATATTAATTAAAGACAAATCTGACAAACTTTTTTTAGGCTTTTTCTTGTTGAAGCAGAGTTATCAAAATATCTTTAATACTCATAAGACGTACTCTAAACTGGCTCTTTTGACAATATGTTTGTTAGCTCAAATATACGGGAATAAAAGTTTGTTTTTTGGACTCTTTAAGGTTCAGTCCAGTTCTGGAAACACAACAACTTTAAAAAGTTTTAGCCTATTTTAATCCAAACATTTTTATGAATTTATTTAAGAAGCTTACTTCCTTACATTTCATTGATACAATGTAGGTTTTCATAAATTTATTCAAAAGCCGTCTTCTTTTCAGTTAAGAATATTGGGGACTGGATGGAGATTGTCCAAGGTCCCACTTTTGGCCCTCGGGCCATATGTTGCCCAGGTCTGGTCTAACCTGACCACAGCACCTTCTTCTACTTGTTGGCGGAAGAAAGTCTTAACAGTCCAGCTTTTTCTTTTTCTTTTAATAAAAGTCTGTTTTTCTTCCACTCTTCCATGAAGCCCAGCTCTTTGCAGCTTTTAGTGGGCCTACCAGTCCTTCCAGCCCTTGTGGAAAGTTTGCTGTAGTGACATCATCTTTTCATTTCCTAAGAACAGATTAAAGGAACTCTGTGGGATGTTCAGGGTTTATCTGTTCTTCTGCAAAACTTTGTGTCTGACTGTGTACGGAGCTCCTTTGTCTTCATGATGTCTCTTGCTCAGTAATAGCCTACTTAGAGATGTTGAGCTGCAATTGTTGTAGATCAGCAGGTGTAGATCAACAGGTGTAGATCAGCAGGTGTAGATCAGCAGGTGTAGATCAGCAGGTGTAGATC